TCCTGGTCAGGATGCTATTGTACGAATTCGATATGGGCAGTCTAACCCTCAGCGTGAACTCGTGTGGGCCGGGAGAGGCAAAAATTGGGTGACCAAGATCCTGTACTCTGCCCGATCTTGGGCGACTGCTATCAAGGTGGTCAATGTTTCAGACCAGAATGTTTGGATCGATACTAGGACGGCTGTTGCACGTATTGTGGATTATGGACAGTTCCCAGGACAGCCTGGATTCGTTCGTCCCGGTAAAGCACGGTACGAGGAGTGGCAACAACTGATCCATGAGTGTACCGTGTCACGCCAGGCAAGGATGCGTGCTGAACGGTTAGAGGAGATTCTCAGGGAAAGGGAGCCCCCGTGCACCCAGACCCAGAGGTATCAGTGGCCTACTAAGCTCTTAATGCGTCCACAGTCCCAAACCGCTGAAGTGAAGATGGTGAAGTTGCAAGACAAGCCGAAACCAGTGGATATGACGCTCAAGATCATCGGGAATGCAGCGGTCGTTATGAACACGGTCGTGAGAAACCCCGAAGAACCTGAGACCCGCCCTGAGCCGGTAGAACAGATCCATCCTGACCTGAGTCCAGAGGTTGAGACCTTGAATCCAGAAAGTATGATGGATGTCAAGAATAATGCTCAGGTCCCTGAACCGTCAGTGGATGTCCACTCACAGACGAGTAGTTCGACACCGGTCCAGAGGCTGGAGGCAGAATATGCTCGGGTGATGCGAGTCTCTGCTGAAGAACTGGATCTGGAACCTGCCGTATATTTCAGAGAAGGAAGTGATCTGATGGCGCAGTTACGAGACCAACTTATCATGCTCCCGGAAATTGAAGAATTGACCCCAGAGTGTGACATCGACGAAGCGAATGTCGGAGTCCCGGGGGTCACAACTCCAGAGATGGAAGCCAAGATTAGGGGGGTCCTGAAACGCCATCGCAGTATCTTCTTGGGAGACGGTAATGCAGCTCCGGCTCCGGCCAGGGGCGTGGTGTGTGACATCGACGTCGGTGAAGCAAAACCAGTGGCTTTACGTGCGAGGCAGATTGCCGCACCTTTCTTAGTGAAGGTATTCGAACTCCTGAAGAAGTTGTTAGAGGCAGAGCTCATTGAGCATTCAGAGTCTGAGTGGTCATCACCTATTGTGATCGTGCTGAAGAAAAACGGCATCGATATCAGAATGTGTATTGACTACCGGCTTCTGAATTTGCTCATTAAGCTATCTCGCTATCCTCTACCTTTGATTGATGACCTGCTGGTAGACTTCAAATCCGCAATGTGGTTTATGAGTCTCGACATGTTCTGGGCGGTGCGAATGACCGAACGTGCGAAGCTGATTTCTGCGTTCGTCTGTCCGTTCGGCCACTTTCAATGGCTCAGAATGCCTTTTGGGCTGAAGAATGCGCCGTTAATTTATCAGAGCATCATCAACAACTGCCTGTGGGGATTCGTTCGTCTGCCTCCTGAAGAAGAAGCGATGGTTGACCCAGAAGTACTGGAGTTCCTGAACCTCAAGCCTCAAGAAGCGCTGAGACCCGAAGTGGATATGCGGGACTCAGCGATTCCTTTATTGGACATGACTGTATTTCGACGCAATATTCCGGCTCCGTCACAAATGGGTCCGGTCTTGGGAAGAAGTTCATACATTGACGATATCGCTCATGGGGCGTCGACCTGGGACCAACTATGCGAGGACCTGGATGCGTTGTTGTACAGGCTACGATATTGGAATATCTCTGTAAGCTTACCCAAAAGTGAGTTCGGAAAATTGACGATCCCCTTTCTATCTCACGAAGTGAGCGTGGACGGAATCAGGGCCTTGCCGAAGATTGTCAAAGGCATAGAGGATCTACCGTTCCCGTCGACGTATAAGGGGGTGCAGTCCTTCTTAGGAAGTCTGAACTACTACAATAAGTTTATTGAAGACTTACCAGTAGTTGCTGCTGTATTCTACGAACAAGACGAAGAACGTGTACGTGCTGGACGGAACCTGGAAGCCGCAAAGGAGTCTTTCGAGATACTGAAACGTAAGATCGTGTCGACCCCGCTATTGCGACATCCAGACAGAACCAAGCCTTTCGTGATAATTCCGCATGCCAACCCGTGGGCGGCGTGTGCAGTTCTGGGTCTGGAGCATGAAGGACTCATACATCCCGTGCGTTTTACGGGTAGAGTGTTGAAGGAATCAGAGCTACGTTACCACATAGC